AAGTCAACAGATTGTGTTAAGAGGAAAAAAATGGTGTTTTTATATACTATTTATGAGGGTTTTGTTTTTTCCTTTTTCAATTGAAAAACAAAACATATTTAATTTTTTGTTATTACAAAAAGACAAATTCTAAATTATAGTTTCACATATCCAAAAATTATTTTATCAAGTAAAAATTTGTTTTGATATTTTTAAAATGTGAATAAATGTGTCAATAATTGATATTGATTTATTCGTTACATCAATTTATGAAATATAATTTTATTGAACAGTCGATATCTCTGACAAAATATGAACACATTTTAACAATAAAGTTTTGCTTAATATCGTATTATTGGTGAAGATTAAAAATTACCAATAAAAAATCGTTCTCATAATTTTAATAACCAAATAATCACTTAACAATATAATTTCATTCTGATGAATAAAGTGTATTCATTAGTTGCTTTCACAATGATTTGTTATTCGAAAAATCATTACTCAATGTCTTGTTTATGTTTTATGAAAGTCGTTAATTTTTTTAAGTAAAAAATTTAGAGAAAGAATCTAACCCGTCACACCGTGACACAAAAAATGGTTTAAAAACAAAACGAATAAACAATATAATTATCTATTTTATAACAACATCTGTAATATCGATATCGTTTAGTAAATACTTGACATGTTGGTTGTATAATCACTGGCTATTTTGATCGTAAAATGATGTGGAAATACAATCACAATTCACATCAAATAAATCAAACAATGAACTATTGATATAGTATAAATTTAATTAAAATATAATAAACAATAAACAAGTGAAATGGTTAATTAACGTGTATTATAAATTAACATCAACATATCAATAGCAAAAATTTATAATAAAACAACAATAAATTATAATTTATTTTTTTAAATGTGAAACTATTTTTAATAATTATTATCATATAATTGAACCAGTCGATTAATTATGGATAATTTTATTATAAATTATCATAATTTTAAAAGGGTTAAAACACCGGAACCCCAAACAACTTAATTCTTTCATTTCAACAAATTATTTAAATTTTACATTGGTGTGATTAAATAATCGACCATTTGAAAACCCCACGCTCGTTAACCGTTTGTTATCATCAAATTAATTTATATTTTATAAATTTATCAATATGATATGTTCATAACGTGTTTTTGTATTTTTAATGTTTATTGTATTGCAATTTGCTTTGTTATTATAATTTCGAAGTTGAAACGTTTATTCGATCTTAATAATTCGA